ACACACACAAAATACCTAGAGGAGTGGTCTGTATGGCAGTGCCTCAGAAAACTATTTGGGCTGATTTCTTTCATAATAGAAGGGGAAATTCAACCTCAATAAAACTTGGTTAAATAACCATGACAGAGCAATGCCAGAGATGAAGTCTTCCACTGCAAGAGTATGAAGAAGTGGAAAGAAAGCACCAAGGGACTCTGTTCCTCACCCGTCAGGGCTGTGTCTGGTGTGAGCAGATGCAGCATAGAATTGTGGACTGGGCAGGGGCCGACTTATTGGCTGCATGACCTCAGGTATGCTATTTAAATTCTCTGAGCTTCTGTTTCCTTTCCTGTAAAATAGGGTTAATCAGACCTGTTTTGCCATGTTATGAGATTTTAAAAAATACTTCACATAAAGTGTCTGGTATATAGTAGGTGTTATTTTTTAAAACATTTTTATTTTTAATTATTATAAGTATATAATAGTTATGTATCTTTATAAGGGACCTGTGATGTTTTGATACAATCATACCATGTGAATTAATCAAATCATAGTAACAGGGTATCCGTCACTTCAGGCATTTACCATTTCTTTGCATTAGGAACATTCCAATTCCACTCTTTTAGCTATTTTAAAGTATACCATAACTCACTGTTGTTATAGTCACTTTGTTGTTCTATCAAATATTGTTTATTCTAACTAACCAAATTTTGATACCCATTAACCATCCCCACTTTATCCCCCACTCCCAGCTACCTTTCTTAGCCTCTGGTAACCATCATTCTACTCTCTGTCTCCATGAGATCAATTGTTTTCAATATTTAGCTCCCACATACAAGTGAGAACATGAGAGATTTGCCTTTTTGTGCTTGGCTTATTTCATGTAACACAATGTTCTCCAGTTCCATCCACATTGCTACAAATCGTAGGATTTCATTCTTTTTGTGGCTATATAATATTCTATTGTGTATATGTACCATGGTTTTCTTTATCTATTCATTCACTGATGGACACTTAGGTTGATTCCAAATCTTGGTGATTGTGAATAGTACTGCAATAAACATAGGCATGCAGCTATCTTTTCAGTATACTGAATTCCCCTCCTTTGGATATATACCCAGCAGTGGGATTGCTGGGTCATATGGTAGTTCTATTTTTAGTTTTTTGAGGAACTTCCATATTGTTCTCCATAGTGGTTGCACTATGGGAGTTACATTCCCACCAACAGTGTAAAGCGTTCTCCTTTCTCTACATCCCTGCCAGCATTTGTTATTGCCTGACTTTATGATAAAAGCCATTTTAACTGGGGTGAGATGATATCTCATTGTAGTTTTGATTTGCATTTCTCTGATGACTAATGATGTTGAGCACTTTTTCACATACCTGTTGGTCATTTGTGTGTCTTCTTTTAAGAAATGTCTATTCAGATCCTTTGCCCATTTTTAAATCAGATTATTTGATTTTTTCTTATTGAGTTGTTGGAGCTCCTTATTTAGTCTAGATATTAATCTCTTGTCAGATGGGTAGTTTGAAAATATTTTCTCCCGTTCTGTGGGTTGTCTATTCACTTCATTGATTGTTTCCTTTGCTGTGCAGAAGCTTTTTAGCTTGATATAATTCAATTTGTCAAACTTTGTTTTGGTTGCCTGTGCTTTGGGGGCATTACTCAAAAGTCCTTGCCTAGACCAATGTCTCCAGTGAGTCTGAGCCCCAGTTGCCCAGGGGATAATCTACTCATTAACGTACCTGAAATAGTTTCCATCCCTTTTCCATCCCTACTGGTGCTTCCTTGAATCATTTCTCAAATAAACTCCTTGTATTCAAATGTTTGTTTATGGGTCTACTTCTAGGGGAATCTAACTGAAACAGTTGCCGGTTAGATACTGGGATAAACAAAGGAGTTGAGAATGGCTGCAAACTTTTTATTACAGATGATAGGTTATTTGGAGGTGTCACTAATTATAAACATAAAGGAAAACATAAATGTTTTATAGTAAGATGTTAGATAATTAAAGCTGAGGTGCCTGTTGGACATGTTCAGTAGGCACTTGAAAATATGGAATTGGAGATCAGGAAAGAGGTAGAGACTGGCGATGGGGATCTGGGCATTATCAGTATATGTAGGCAGGTGCTAAAGCCATGAAAGTGGGTGAGATGGCCAAAACGCTTACGCATAGAAAGTTAAGGACAGGTTTTTATGAAACATTAACATTTAAGAGATTAGAGGAAGAAGAGCCGATGAAGGAGATTGAAAGGATAGAGTCCCCATTCTCTTCTGTCCCTAGACAGAGCACTTAACTTTGGCCATTTTGCTGACCATTTAAATTTCTGGTCTATTTACATTATGAAAGTACATTGTCCTCTAAGACTTAATCTGCTACACTGGGTAAAGAAGGAATTAAGATTAAGTTTAATAGGAGGGGGAAATGGCTAGGGAGAAGGGAACTAATGTTGGTTAAATGTTTACCATGTGCCAGACCCTGTACATATATCATCTATTGAATACTTACAATAACCTGTGATATGGGAGCTAGCACCTTATGTTCCCTTAAAGAAAGTGAAGATTAGAGAAGTTAAGAAATATCTACAAGGTTCCACATTTATTTATTAAATGGAAGAGCAAGAGTTTACCCAGGCTGTTCTTTTTTTTTTTTTTTTTTTTGAGACAGAGTCTCACTCTGTCACCCTGGGTAGAGTACAGTAGCTCACTGCGACATCAAACTCCTGGGCTTAAGGGATCCTCTTGCCTCAGCCTCCTGAGTAGGTGGGATTACAGGGGTGCACCACCACTCCTGGCTAATTTTTCTATTTTTCGTAGAGACGGAGTCTCACTCTTACTCAGGCTGGTCTTGAACTCCTGAGCTCAAGCAATTCTCCAGCCTTGGCCTCTCAGAGTGCTAGGATTATAGGCGTGAGTCACCATGCCTGGCCCGAGGCTGTTCTTGTCACCATATTAAAATCTCAATGAAGTAAAGACTAGCTTACTTAATATTCCCTTTTTTGTCTAAACCAGCAAAGGCAATGTTTTGAAAAGCCATCCTTTCGAACATTTTGATTGCCTGACTTATTTCATTTATAATTAACAGTTCATTTCCATTAACTCATGTAAATTAAGGACATTTGAAACTGCCAGTTAGAACTTCTGATTCATTTAAGGCAACCACTGTTTAAGAATTAAAATAAGTGAAAGACAACATAAATCTCTAAAATATGCTTTTTCTTTGACCTAGCAATTCCATTTTTGGAATTCAGTGCAAGAAAATGATAAAGAATATGTGCAATGACATAGGCCACAAGCTATTCATAATGCTGAAAAATCGATTAAGAGCCTAAATATCTAATAATAAAGAACAGTTAATTAGGGTATGTCTAAAAATACTAAGTAGTCATTAGAACTAATGTTGTAGGCTAGTATTAATATGGAAAGTTGCTCCTGAGATAGTTTTAAGTGAAAAAAATCAAGTTAGGAAAACAATTAGGGTCGAATTTTTGGCTGCCTTAGCTGGAATATAAACAAGGGTAGTGTGGGCTATCCATCTCCCTAACCTCTGCCCCACCCACACCCCAGTATGTTTGCAGTAATTGATACACATTGTGGCTTTTGTTTCTAGCTGAGGAAAGAAGAGGTATAATTGGTAGAAGAGGTGAGGAGGAGAGTGGAGGGATATGGTGAGTGTAGTAAGGAATCTGTATCCTGCCTGACTTCTCATACTAGTTTGAGCTCCCGGGCTTTGTGAATTAGAGCTGGAAAGGATGGAAGTGGGTTTTTTCCCCACTATAAGAATGCAATTCTGTAATTCTGGGCAAGGGAGTAGGGTCAAAAGCCCAGAACAGTTCAGGAGAGAACTATGATATTTGGTGTATATGCAGAGATGACTCCTAGGTCAGATGTCAAAGTCAGGCATAAAGCTGGAGAAGATGCAATTCTCCCCACCTGTGTAGTGGAGCCTGCTGACTGTCTCCCAATATCTCTTCCTCCCTTATTTCTCATTAATACAATTTTACCTAGGCACTGGACAGACCAGACTGTTTCCCAGATCCCCTTGCAGCTACCTATGGCTTCGTAATCAGATGGAAGGAGGATATGATGGCAGAAACTAGCACAGCCATCTTGAAATAACAGATACAAGGCAGGCTCCGATGATGGCAGAGTCACAAGATAAAAGGAACCTGGGACCCTGTCACAGGGCGGAGGTGACAGCAATACCATCTCTATAATGAACACAAATCATTTATATCTAAAACTGAGCATATGGAGTAATTTCTAACTAGTGTTTAAATCCACAGAGCCCAGCACAGTGCCTGGGTGGTAAACTTCCAAGAAATGTAGAATTAAGCTTATTCACACTATATAGAGTTATCACAAGGCAAGAATCAGACCTTAGACTTCTCGTGCCCAATCTTGAAGATGATGTTTTTCAATGCTTTTAAACCTGTTATCTCTTCTGAAAACCTAAAATCTCACCCACCATACCACCAATTGTAATTCGTTCTGCAAGGGAGGTATGCTGCCTATCTGAGGAAATAGAAGATAGTGTGTTTTCTACATATTGCCAGTTAGCTTACTTGCTTAGAGCAAGATGTCCCATTCCTTATAGGCATTTGAGAGGGGAGATTATAAAGCAGCAAAGTTCAAAGGCTTTGGCCTCAGGGCTGCAGTTATCTCTCCCTTGCGAGACCTTGGGGGTAGTGTTAATGGGGCCTCATCCAAGAAATGGAAATACTATTAATACTTCACATGGTTGTCATAAGGATGAAGTGAGACAATGTGGAAAGTGCCGAGGAATGCCTAAAACAACCAAGAGTTTATTAAACTTGTCAAGCTTTACTTTCTGTAGCGTGCATTAAGCAAACGATAATTTTATTTGTTTATTTCGTGTTCCAAATATAAGATTACATTGTATTTCCGGGTATTTTGACAGCACCTTCTAAAATGATCCCTCCACCCTCCGCTGCCACAAAGCACTACGCCCCTTACGACAGCGTACGACGCCGAGCCTGACAAGAACGAAGGCACCGCGCAGGCCAATCGCGCTGCTGCCGGGGGATGACGCAAGCTGCGCTTGTGCATGCGCAGGGCGGGGAGACCTTGACGAAGTGGTGGAGTCGCTTAGCCGAGGTGAAAGCGTTGCCGGAAAGAAAGATACAGCGGAAAATGCAGAGCTGGAGTCGTGTGTACTGGTCCTTGGCCAAGGTGAGGGCCCCGTTTGAGTGGGTGGGGTCGTGCTGAGCCAGAGGCACGGGGCCGCTCAGTGGGTTCCGGACGCGGCCTAACTCCGGTTGGAGTGGGAGAGGCCGGGGGGCCTGTCCGGGACTGCGCCTGGCCCCGCCTCTGCACCGTCTCAGCCCGGGCCTCGCCTCAGAGGTAACGGCTGGTTCTCCGGCAGCAGCAACCAGGCGGCGGGCCTGGGCCCAGGCTGTGGGGCTTCCACGCCAGTGCGACGGCCGGCAGCCACGCACACCACACCTCCAAACCTGGGCCTCCACCTTGGTGGAGGAAATGTAAGCCCCCGGCCCTTATCCCTTATGGTTTGGCTTTTCATACCTTCTGCCTTTTTCTTATCCTAATCCTGACCCCTAAGTGGCCTAATTTTCTACAGTGGGCAGGCAACCTTGGGGCCACTTCTTGAATGACATAGACCTAGTCAGCCCAACAGAAAGCTCTAAGAATTCCCCTAAGGTGCTGTCAGTGTTTGCAGCTTTAAATTAGTGTCCGTTGCCATCTCTCAGGTCCTCCTGGAGTTTATGTTTTTAATTGCAGCGGTTGTCGTCAAGACAATTTTCCCTTTTTATCTACCAGCAGATACGGCCAAACCATATGTATGTAGGACCTTGGCTGGGTACCGTGTTGGTGGAGACCTTAAAGATAATATAGCAATCAAGCCCCTTTGTTTTAAAGATGAGAAGCGTATGTTCCCCAAAATTAATATCATATGCCAGAAGTCCATGCTTTTAGGGACAGGAAGAGCTGGGTCTAAAACTCAGGACTGACAGTCTTCTGCTCTTTGGTCTGCTGTCCTGCTCTCAGGTGCAAGAGTTGCTTTGGAATAGAGAACATTACTGCATCAGTATAGATTTTGTCGCTGCAGCCTAACTGCTTGCTGGGATAGGAAGAGGAGATACTTGCTTTGTTTCTTTGTACCTCACTGTTCTTAGGAAATGGTAGCCGTAAGTATATAGAGATAGTGGAAATTATAGTGCAATTTGTAAAACTGTAGTAGCTCTAGAACATCTTTACATTACTTAGTGCGTTTTCCTAAGTTACCTTGTCTAATTTTCTGTTTCTACTTCATGACTTAGGAACATCTTTCTAGGTAAATGTGGACTATATATACATGGTAGATTAGAGTCAGGAAACAATAATTACAAGTAAAAGTATTATCATACTGTAGATTATTCAAGTACTTAAGTTATAACTTTCAGAACTTTAATTATGACATTATAATGATCCCTGGCACTAAAAATTAGCCACACTTTCTGAAAATTTAATAAAACTTAATACCATTGAATAAATTTTTAAATTAGGTTAAATATGAGATGGTTTGAATATTCATAATAAAAAGATGGGTGTGGCAAGCCGAGACTGAAAAGTTTAAATGATTGTTATTGTCCAAGAGGAGAAATTGACATGTGACCTCTATGGCAATGGAAAATGGATTAATAATCAGTGCTTGATACATTTGCTCAAAATTGTTACCTTTTCATCAACTTCAGTGGTTCTATGTTTTGAATTCATATCTTACATAATAGGAAAATTTTCTTTCTTTCTTCCTAGAGGGGCCATTTCAATCGAATATCTCATGGCCTACAGGGACTTTCTGCAGTGCCTCTGAGAAGTTACGCAGATCAGTCAAGTAAGTAATTAGTAAGTTCTCATCATTTCAGCTGACAGTTCCTTTCTATTTCAATGTAAAAGCAAGTGAATCTAGAATAACTTACGATAATCTTAGAATTCATTTGTTCATATATTTAATCATTTAAATGTTACTGACCACCTAGTGTGTTCCAGGCAGTGAACAAGGCAAAGCCTTGCTGTTATGAAACTTGTGGTCTGGTAGTATAAGAGAAGCAATAAATATTTTGGGAATTAATTGAAAGTTAAAGCAGGTAACAGGGAGGAAGAGAGACAATTTTAGATAGGGTGTCAGGAAAGGCCTTTTTGAGGAGATGGTGTCTGAGCAGGGGCCTGGGTGAAGTGAGGGAGTAAGAAGATTATTTCAGGCCGAGGGAAATAATGGTGAGAAAAGTCTGAGGTAGGAATTAGCTTGTGAAGTTTAAGGAATAGCAAGAAGGCTGGTTTGGCTGGAGCAGAGACCCATAGAATGTAAAATCAGAGAGGTAGGCAGGGGACAGATTATGAAGTGCTTTGTAAGCCAAGCCATGTAGTTTGGATTTTACTCCAGTGTGATGGGAAACCACTGAAGGGTTTTGACCAAGGCAGCAGTTTCTTATGTTTACATTTTAAAAAGTTAATTTTGTCCACTGGGTAAGTTTGTGTTGGTTGTTTTAACAGTGTTTAGAATGAATGGTGAGTTGTCTTTTTGACATTGTGAATGAAAATCTTGATGAGTTTATCAAAAAGCACATTTTAAAGAGCAGCAGGATGTACCTACCCTAAAATGAAGCTACATATCATGGAATTTTCCTCTTTATACTTTTTTATATTTTTGAAGTTTCTGTAAAGGATATGCATTTTAATTTTTAAGTATTTAAAACAGGAAGTTAATGGGCTTATATTGAAATATTTTGATCTCTTAGTATGAAGGATATTGATTATTTGAAATTAGCTATTTTGACATTTACTGGACTCACCTATGTTGATTATAAGTAAAATCGGATGTCTTAAAACTTCGTTGTAGAAATCATTAGGTGGGGGAACTGTGGCCATCAGTCTCCCTGCATCCTGTGAAATAATTTAATCCTGTATCCTTAGCTGTTAACAAACCATTATCATTTTGGATATTTTATTCTTAGAGGAAGGATGGGGGAGGATTCTAGTCACCAGTGACCAACAGTGAGTGAGTAATTTATTCTAGCTTTGAACAGGTCAAGAAGGCTAAGCATAGGGAGCTATGAAATCTATATATGGACTGGGAATGGTCACAGAATTCTTTCCTAAGGAATTATGTTGTTATCTGAAAAGGATGAGGGTCACTCAATTTACAGATTGGATCTTTTATTGTAATTCTTCTTTCTCTGTAGACTATAAGAACCAGAGCTGTGTCATTTATATATATCCCAAGAGCTTAGAGAGTAATATGCTAATGTGAAATGCGTGCAGTTGGTATTTATTTCTAGGTAGATGGAACAGACTGTACATAGGTAGACCAAAATAATTCTGTGCATGTAAGCTAACACAAGTTCACCATTACTGAAGCTTAAACTGCATGGTATTGGTGAGTAAGCAGAATGTGGTGGGAGTTGAGGCTGGAGAAATAGTTACTGAAGGGATTTGTATTCTGTACTCAGAAATATGGACTTTATCTAACAAGAGACAGGGAAACCAGTGAAGAGCAAGAGAATAATATCCAAGTTAGGTTTAGCTGGGGGTAGCACTGGGGTAGCAGTGTGTAGGGTGTAATGGAGGATGGGAATGAGACTGGAGGAAACAGGACTAAAGTTGGGAGGTGGATCTGAGAAGGGAGTAACACTTGCTGAGTGCCTAGTATGCACCTGGCACCCTTTTAGGGTCTTGACATACATTCTCTCTGATTCTTACAACCATAGGCTGTAGGTATCGTCCTTCTATTAACCCTATGTTACCTCAAAGCCCAGAGAGATTAAGTAATTTGCCCAAAAATTTAGGGGTGATAGAGTTCAAATTTGAACCTCGGTTTGTTTACTTCAGATCCTTTCTTATTTTACTATATTTCTTCTTTATGAATTAGGAGGTTGTAGGGTTGTGATCAGAAAGTGGAGTATTGGAATTCAAGATTTCAGAGGCTGAGCAGTTTTGGGTAATAACAAGTGTAGAATGTGACTGTGGGAGGAGGTTACTGAAGTAGATTTTAAATCAGCCTCCCTTATGCCCCAACAAAACGTCAACAAATAAACTTTACCAAATAGCTCTTATGCTCATTTTAATGAATTTGGTAATTAATGATTACTGCTTTATAATATCTCTTTTCCTATTCCTTTTTTCTTTCTAAAATAGTCTTGTTTTATCTTCATTTTGACATGTGCTTGTTTGCCATCACTATATTGTAAGATTATTGAAGATACTGATACTATCCATATAAGTAAGGCATTCATAAATATTTGATTTCTTTCCGATAGTAAAACAGCTTCTTGTCATTTTAGTTGAAGTTCTTGATTAGCTTGAAGATTATGGGATCATCTGAGTGTTTTAGAAGGCGATAGAATGCAATGGTACATATAGAAGCATAAGTTTCAAAATCTAAAGGACCTGCCTGGTTTGAATCCTGGGTAGGTCACTTACTAGTTGTGCAGTCTTGTGCAAGGTACTTAGTTGTTTTTAGTTTTTTCTTCCTCTCTTAAATGGTAGTAATAACTATGTCATAGAGATGTAATGAAGCATCAATAAGACAACATATATTAATATGAAGCATTTAGCTCACTGACTGACACATAGCAAATTACCCAAATGGTAGGTGTTATTACAGACTGACTTCTCGAGATACGTCTTGTAATTTATCGATAATTACACCTTTATTTCAGTGGTAGCCTTGATAATGTGATGCCTTATTTTCCTCGTAATGATATATAATAAGTAACATTTGTAGGATAATTTGCAAAGCACTTTTTCCTGCTTTTTCTCTTTCAGTTAAGTTTAATAACATTAATTGCCATGTTTAAGTCAAATCACCTCTCATTGTACCTGAATATTTTAGCAGTATCAACCTGATAGCTTCTGCTGATATTTTACTGCCACTTGAGATGCAGATTGCTATCCAGTTGTTACTTGTCATTTTCGCTGACTTAGTCATCTTTCTCTTGTGTTACTAGTTTGTATATTCTTTCAGATTTTCTTTTTCACTTTTAAAGGCTGATGCTAATTTTGTAAAAATTTCCGAGTACTCCTTAAATTGAGTACTAAATGTATTTCATTCAACTAGTTTTCTATATCCTGATTTTTTAACTTTATTTATGGGACCCAGCCTGTTAAATGCTTCTTAATAAGGAGAAGGTAAATCAGAATGATGTGTTGTAAAGGTTCCTTTGCATGAATCCTTGGTACAGGTGAGAACTAGATGATTTGTTTTTCTGAGGTTTATTATGAAAAGTTGCAAACATTTAGAAAAGTTGTAAGAATTTTACAGTGAACACCCATAGATTCTTCCATTAACATTTTTCTATACTTAACTGTCAATCCATTTATCAATCCATCTTATTTTTGGATACATTTCAATACTGGCTAGTTTTTGAAAGTTTGTCATTGGCTTGCACCCTCCTGTATTCTCAGCTGACAAATCTTTAGATAAAGACTCTGCTTTTTTCTCTTCATTTTTGTGCTGCTTAGCACTTTCTTGGTGTTGTGATTGAATGTTACATCTAGCTTCTTCAGTGAGAGATGAACTGTTTTTGATATTTTCTATAGTTTTAAAAAAAACTACCTAAGATTATGTAGTCAATTGAGAAATAAAACCCGTTTTTTGACTCTTGTTTTTTATCTTTTGTTTACTTCTCCTGGTTCTTTTCCAAACCAAATTTCTTTTTCATTTTTGTACTGTGGATTTACTATATGTGTTGCATATCAGTAACTAAAAATATATACTCAAAAAATACATATACCTAAAACCTAAAATATTTAGTCATTCATTAAAAATATTTTTGAAGAATTATAGCAATAATATATAACTTACAAATACATAATGTGCTCATATAAAGAGAAGAATATAAAATTTTATATGGCAAAATTTGAATTTTATAAAAACTTTCATAGAAGAAATCTTAAGAGGACCTATAAACATAGTTTTCTCTGGGTTGTATGTCAATGTGGATGCTTTTTGGTTTTGGGGGTTTTTTTTTTGCTTTTCTATGTTCAAACTTTTTTTAGTAAACCTCTATTTTTTAATCAGAAAAGATATTAAAAATTCAGCAATGAAACCTGTTTTGTAGCTTATATTTACATTACTGTGAAATTAAAAATTGGAATCCATTTAGGTGATATTGCGTAGATCATTTGGTTCCAGATTTGAAAATAGAAATACATTTTATTATATACTTAATTCTGAACATAAATCAGTGAACCGAGCAGGGTGGCCAAAAAGCACAGGTGGGATCAGTAAAAATTGAAGCAATAATTTTTTCGTGTATTGGACTGGCTATGTATTTTTTCATGTATTGAGTAATCCCAATTACCTGATATAACCAAGAAGAATCCAGTATTTTCATTTATTCAGTAGGAAAGATTCTTAGATTTTGTGGATAATTGGGTTGAATAACTTCTTAATTATCTGCCAACATGGGGTACTGTGCTTCTGTTCAGGCTAGCAAAGGTTTTTTTCTCATCTTCTAGAGCTGTGATTTTGCAGGAAGGAGATGATGCAGATTAAAGTTGTCATCTTTGTAGGTCAGAATATAGCTACTATATATCGAATACTTGCTATGTATGTTACAGGTACTATGCTAAACTATGTATATATATTATTTCGTTGTGTGTTAGCACACTGAGGTTTTTTTGTAGTCTTTATTTTGCAGGTGAGGAAATGAAGATGCGGCAGGTTAAATTACTCACCCACCTAAGGTCACATAGCTAGTAATTACAAAGCTTAAGCTTTCTGTGATTTTAGTTTATGATGGTTAAAATTGAGGAATGGAATAGCATTGAATAATGGAAAGACCCCCAAAAGTAGAATCAAAAAGCTAAGTTTTGTCTTTGCCACTCACTTGCCACCTTGGACAAGTTAATTGACCTCTCTGAAACTCGTGTTTCTTCTGTGAAATGTCTTGTTTATATCATCCTTACTTTCCTCGTAAGAAGTTCTTTGAATCAAATATGATAATATATGTAAATATGCATTAATGAACTGCTAAACGCTAGACCAGTTGGAGTTCTAAGGACAGTGGAAGGGGAGAAGGGAGATTGTTCCTAACTCAGAAGTCATTGTTACTTTATTTGAAATTGGATTGAAGACACTGGGAGTAATTGGATTTATTTGTACGTTTGTATTACAATTATTATGTTCCTAAGCCTGCTGATGAAAGTTAATTTTCAATTTTTTATCTTTATCTTTATATGATAAATATCCAGAATAATTAATCGAATGTTCTGGTTAGCCTATCTTAAACCCTATAACATTTATCAATATGCAAATAAAGTTTGAAACATTTATCATGCATTATATGGAAACTAATTTTTTTTTGATATTTCAGAAGTTAAAGACCTGAAAGAGGTAATTTGTCCTAAATTTGTTGGAAGTACTAAGGCATTATACAAAATTATATTACTTAATTTTAACATTTGTCATTGAAGGCAGTATTATCATTCCTATATTATAAAAAGGTTAAGTCACTTGGCCAAGTTCACACAACAGATCAGTGGTAGTGCTGAGATTTGAAGTCTTGTATGTCAGATTCCAAAGCTCAGGCTCTTTTCTTTCATACACACTTGTCTTCCAGTGTCACTAAACCTCTGTCAGTTATCATTAAACAAAACTACAGAATTTAGCAAGGTCAGTGGGTACAAGGCTAATATTACAGAAACTCAGTTGTATTTGCATATGCCATAGAAAATGATAGAAAATGAAATTTTAAAATTTGTGCCATTTTCAGTAGCATCAATAAACATCAAGTACCTGGGAATAAAATATTACTGTGTAGACATGCTGGTTATTTGTACTTTCTTGGAAGTTTAAGTATTAGGTTGTTTGCTTTTCCAAAGAGCTATTTTTGGTAAATTTTAAGCGATTTACTATTTTATATCAATTTGCTTTTATTGTAGTTGATGCTGATGTAACAGTTATAGGTTCTGGTCCTGGAGGATATGTTGCTGCTATTAAAGCTGCCCAGTTAGGTTTCAAGGTAAGGTTTAAACTTAAACTAAGTGTTAATACATTCTTATTTGGGAAGGGTTCATGATGTTCACAAAATACTTCGTAGGTGAAAACATGGTAAATAATTTCTTAACTTGTTAAATTATTGGTAAGCCTGAGACTAGTGAAGATCGGGTTAATTTGGTTATAGCATTCACATGGAATGGAAAGTGAAGTCCATGATTTTTCCCCTCCTCCCAATACTTTTTATTATATTTTGGCTTGTAATCACACTTTGGAAGATATAGCAATAGAACTAAAAGCATATATTTAGTAATGTTAAGCAAACAGAAATATCTTTTAGAATACACTTTTGGCCTGAGAGAATTTAGTGTTATTTAAATGATAAATTATAAAGGACTCTGTATTTTGGGCTCTGTAAAACACAGCTTGAGTAGCTTGTTCTGTAGGAAAATTAAGACATACATTTGAAATTTTAGTGAACTGAAACATCGTAGGTTACATACAGCTAAACAGTGTTTTCTTTGGTTGTAGACAGTCTGCGTTGAGAAAAATGAAACACTTGGTGGAACATGCTTGAATGTTGGTTGTATTCCATCTAAGGTGAGCATATGTTTGGTACAGTGCAGAGATTTTTTTTTTTGTTAGCTACTAACTAGAAGGATGGATTGAGACTAAACTAGCGGAGTTATTGAATAATAACCCATGTATGATAAAAAACTACATTTTTCTTTAGTAAAACTTTTATAAAATAGTGCTGTCACCAGTCTGCCACACATTCTTGCAATAGCTTCCTTGTTTCAGAATGCCTAGCCTATCCATTCAAATAGACTCTGATGTTCTATTTTTCTCTTTATCTTTCCTTTACCAATGAAACAGATAGTAGATAGTAAATTTGTCTTTTAGGTTCTTTATATATAACGTAAACATGACTGCCTTTTTCACCTGTCACCCTGAAGTGTGTACTTATTTCTTTGCTTTAAAGAAAGTAAAGATGTTTTATTTTCATTATTGTTTGTTGAGTGTTTTTTTACATCATTACTATTTGTCTTTGATTAACTGAATTGGTGTAGTCCCGTGTACTATTCCATGTAAGAATGCAATTTTTTTTAACTTCTTTTGAAAATTTTTATTGTAAATTGACAAAATCATAGTTGTATATATTTATGGAGTACAAAGTGATGTTATGATTTATGAATACAATGTGGAATAATTAAGACAACCTAATTAACATATCCATCACTTCAACTACTTATCATTTTTGTAGTAAGAACATTTGAAAGGGAATATCTTCAGAAGCACTTTTTTATTGTATGCAGTCTGTTTATGAATATTTGATTTCATCTTTTTATTTCCTGTAGGCTTTATTGAATAACTCTCATTATTACCATATGGCCCATGGAAAAGATTTTGCATCTAGAGGAATTGAAAGTGAGTATACTTTTCGTAATTATCGATATTACCAGATTGCTTGACTTGATTCTTCTGGCCAGAGACTTAACATGTATCTAACGTGTGTAATAGATGTTTAGTGAGGAAAAAATAAAGATAAAATAATAAAAAATAAAAATAAAGAAGCTCAAAAATGTAGAGATTTACTTAAGAAAAAAAAAATTCCAGATTTCTACCATAATGTATTCTTTTCCTTTGCCCACTTTTTCCTGAAGTCTGCATTTGTGTTTATATGAAGAGTCAGTTTTTGTTTCTCTGAAACGTGAAGATTACTGGGGAGGCTGGATTCCTGAGTGCTGTGGACAGATAAAGAAAAAGGAAGGAGGGAAGGCATACCTAAGCTGTTGATAGTGGAAAGAGCAGAGGAGAGAAAGTGAGGCGTAGTGGAAAAGGAAGAGGACATTTCATAACATTTGAATTTGGTTTGTCTTGTCTCCTGGCCATACTATTTTGGGCTGTTTTCTTCTTTTCTCTCCAGATAATGTCGACAGATACTTCTGGAGGGTTGGGACCCATGCATACCTTGGGGTGTTGCTTTTCCTTCATTTGTTTCTTCATAGCAATAGGTTTCTGAAAGGGACTGTATGTAGGCAATCCGGAATATAGAGGTTATGTATATACACTAAAGAAAATAAAAAGTGGAATGATGTAAGGAAAGCAGAGATAAGGTAGTCAAGAGATCTGTATTGTAGGCAAGGGTTTCTATCTAGCTCTGTGACCTTGGGTAAATTCTTCAGAGTCTGTGTTTCCTTATCTCTAAGATATTTGTTGGTTGTTTTATGAGCTGATTTCTAAGATATCCTTCTTACCTCTAAAATTCTATTGAGTTGAGCATTTTTATTTTATATTGTTGCTTCAGAGTGCTCTTCTGAGTTAAATGAGCAATTAAAACCCACTTGATTAAATTAAGCTTTTTATATTAAGCTTCTGTATTTGAAATTTTCAGTTGTGTGTTTTGTAATTAGTTCTTGTTTCATGAGATTTAGCATTTTCCTTTATTTAAAATTTCAGATGACATTTTACTTTGCCATTTCTACTTAAATATCTTCCTGACTTATAACTATCATAAGGTGTTTGGAGAATATGTTGTTGCAGTGGGATGTAATATTTTATTTTGGATTGCATTTTTACCCATGGGGGACATTTTATAGTGTATGATAGGTTCCATTATTATGATATGATGTTGGCCTTTTGTCAGCTGTGATAATTATCGGTTATTAAATTTTAAAATTTTACTACTGTCTGTTACACTGTTTTGTAAGCATTAGGCTGAAATTTTCCAGACCTTGGTCAATGAAAAATACTACACATTGCTTCAAGAATTTAGCTAAGAACTAAAGATTTATTTAACAAATTACAGTGTCTGAAGTTCGCTTGAATTTAGAGAAGATGATGGAGCAGAAGAGTACTGCAGTAAAAGCTTTAACAGGTGGAATTGCCCACTTATTCAAACAGAATAAGGTCAGTGCTTAATGTTCAGATTTCTGCTTTATTTTGTATACATACTAAACATTGCATTATGCTAATAGCATGATGATATTTGAACTTGGTCATGGGGTGAGGGGGATATTTATTTAATACAGTTTGCTAACCTGAAATAGATTTCTCTGACTGACAGAACAAATTTATTGCTGTTCCGTATGTAACATTACTAAGTAAGGAAGTATGTCATTTTAGATAAATTATTTTCAGAGTATTTTTATTTAATGTTTATCAGAAAATTATTTTAAACTTTGTGAATTTATAAACGTTATTTTATAAAGGTTGTTCACGTCAATGGATATGGAAAGATAACTGGCAAAAATCAGGTCACTGCTGCGAAAGCCGATGGCGGCACTCAGGTTATTGATACAAAGAACATTCTCATAGCTACAGGTTCAGAAGTTACTCCTTTTCCTGGAATCACGGTATTTATGCTTTATAATTTACGGCTTCCTTTAAAAATAGATTTTATATATACTTTATGCTATTTATGAACTTTGAGAGACTTCTGTATATATATATTTTTCCCCCCCCCGAGATTCTATATTTTGAGAGGTATTCAACTTTGGTAGGTTACCTGTCTTTATTCTGCAGTGATTTTGACCAGATACAGAATACTTTGTATTATAAAGATATATTTGAATTCAGCATGAAATTAAAATTGACCACTTTGTTTTACAGTACTGAATGATAAAATTTAAAGTTAGCATTTTTAATGGGATTCAATGAAATTGGATATATGGATAGAAGTTATAGATAACCTCAAAACAAATAAATGACTTAGTATTTTTAGTGATTTTGCTGAATGAGATCACAGTTTATAGATACTATCTGTATCTATACAGATTGTGGAGGATTGGTTCCAGGCCCCTCCTCAGATACCAAAATTCACAGATGCTCAAGTACCTACATAAAATGACATAGTATTTGCATATCAGTTATGCACTTCCTCCTGTGTACTTTAAATCATCTCTAGATTACTTATAATACCCAATATAATGTAAATAGTTGTTTATACTATATTGTTTAGGGAACAATGACCAAAAAAAAAAGACCGTACAGATGCAACTGTCCATTTTTTTTCCCCAAATATTTTTGATCCATTTGGTTGAATCTGCAAATTTGGAAACCATGAATGTAGAGGGTCGACTATACTAGGTTTTTCCAAATAATTTTGATTGTATCTTTTGTTTTTCTTATTATAGATTGATGAAGATACAATAGTGTCATCTACAGGTGCTTTATCTTTAAAAAAAGTTCCAGAAAAGATGGTTGTTATTGGTGCAGGTGTAATAGGTGTAGAATTGGTAAGTGATGTCTTTCTGTTACCTCCATGGAGTTCAAGGGGATTTAAAGGTCTCCTGTTTGATTCTTTGCATAATATCGTAGGCTGATCCATGCTCAGTTTTGCTTAAACACTTCTAGCAATAAAGAGTTTACTTTTTAAAAAAAAAAACCTTTTTAGGTAATTGTTAGTCATTAGAATGTTCTCCCTTATTTAATAGTTGGCTTCTCTGTATCTTCCATCTTTCCTCTTTCCTATGATTGGTTGAATTGATTTTTAATCTGATAGCCATTCAGATATTTGAATATAGCTCTCATTCTGAGCAAATTGCATTCCAGATGAAGACCATACTCTTTACTATGATGTACGTGATCTGGCTCTTCCCTTCCTCTCCATCCTTATCTTCATGCTGCTTAGATTTTAGAAATGTCAAACTGAGATTCTCTGTGCACTATGCTGTTTTATACGCTCTGCCTGCCTGGTTCTCCTTTCTTGACCATCTGGCAGCTTTCCACATATTTCCAGTGACCTTTTCTCTCCATTTTAGATATCCTTTCTCAGCCACTGTACCTTGTAATCACCAAGAATTCCGCTACTTCTGAAATCATAACTTCAGACATTTCATTCTTTAACCATGACTTCCTTTCCTCTCTTACTTAGTTATTCCTAGTATACTTGTATGTTTTTTAACTTTACTGGGTCTTCTAGTCCGTAGATCTCTATGCTTTTTTTTGCTGTTTGCCCTTTCCTGTCTGCTTTTTTGATCAGCTTAGATTCTGTAGTCCATAATTTTAACGACTTTCTTACAAGTGTCCTTCAATTGCGTGCCTTGCCGTTTTGTCATATCTGCTTGGCGCAACTCTAGTCCTGTTTGAATGCAGCAGTCTGCCTTTTTTATGCTGTTCTCAGGCTATTGACCGTACCTGGAGAAAAACACACCCGCAGATTGGTGCCTGTATAAATTCTTGGTCACAACCTCAACAGGAACCTCAGGCTTTCTGACAATCCATTATTTCCTTACCTGGCACACTGTCCTGGTCTCTGCAATGGCTGTTTGATTTCCTACTCTTCTCAAACCTCTGCTGGTACGCTATCTTCCGCTGCCTACACTGTCTTCCTCTGCTTGTAGATGACTTTGTCTCCTAAATATCAAGTAAAAGAGAAACCATCAGATGAGAATTCTCTCATTGTAATGCCCCGGATTTGAAATACTTTTACCTATTGTTACACCTGTCCTTTTGATCTTCCCCTCTGTTACTGTTGGAATGCTGTTTTCCCTAAGGCTAATCCCTTCACTTCCGCTTGGTAGCACATTGTTTTTTGCCTTCTTGAAGACTTATTTAGTGATTTTTATTCTTTCTTGTATTTGTCAATCTTCAAACTCTTTTCTACTTTTGCTTCCTTCTCATTTACAATTAAATATGCCTCTATGTATGTACCTATGTACCATATATACGTGCTCAGATGCATTTGCACTCAATGACACAGGCTTGTGTACACATAAATAAGCCTTCTCTTGATCCCATTTTCTTCTTCAGTTACTAATTTCCCTTGTACTTTTCCTCCACAACCCAGCTTCTCAAAAGAGTTGTCCATGCTCTATTTCATCAACTTCCACTCACTTCTCAGTCCATGGCTTCTTGTGTCAATAAATTGCTCCAACAAGGACATGAATGGATTTATTGCTCAATCAGTTTTCTTCACTGCTTTATTTGGCAGCAGTTAGCATTGCTGATTTTCTTGCCTTTGAAACTCTTTCCCTAGCTTCTCTGATTCCATATTCTGCTGGTTTTACATCTACCCTTAGGGCTGAATTCTCCATCGTCTATGCAAGTTCTCCTTTTCTTAACTTTTCCTTTAATTGTTAGTATTACTCTACATTCTGTCTCAGGGTTCTATCCTGGACCCTTTTGTCTCTCCACAGAATATTCTCTTCACTGCCACCTCAGTTTTCCCAAGAACTCAAAAATATCTGCAGCCTGATTCTTTCTTTTTGCCTCTGGACTTTTATATCTAAATGCCTACCAGCATCTCTGCTTGTGTGTCTCACAGGCATTCTGTTCAGTAAATGTATAACTTAACCTTTCTGTCCCCATCCTACCTCCCCCACACCCAAATAAAACTAACAAACTAAACTAAACTAACAAAACTAAATCTGTTTCTCTTCTAACATTTCCCACTTCAATGAGTGATACTGCCGTCATTGAACAAATTTGAATTTTAGAATCAAACACATTTAAATTTGAATTATAGCGCCGCCTCTTATTGGTTTTATGTTTTTCTTAAATTAATGAGCCTCTCTGTACTACTTGATTTGTCATTAAAAACGGGGATAAGAATAACAAACTTACATCACAATTATTACTCAGATTTAATAAGGTAATACATTTAAAGCACTTAACGTGGTGCCTGGCATCTAATAAGCTCTAAATAAGTGGTAGATACTATTGGAGTTTTCCTATCTCTATAGATTTTGCAATCAGTTTTCCTAAAGAATAGGTCACTTGTCTATGCTTATCATTCCCTACTTTGAATTATAGACTCCAGGATGATGCTTCCTATCGTTTCCACACTCCTGTCATTTCTTACTATTCCAGTTTAGGTTCAGAGAGTGGTTCTTTTTTTTTTTTTTAAACAGCTTTATTGAGATATAATTCACATATATGTTCACCCACTTAAAATTTACAATTCAGTAGTTTTTAGTATATTCATAGAGTTGTGCAGCTGCCACCACTATCTGAATCTAGAACGTAACGTGTTCATCACCCCAGAAAGAAACCCAGTGCCCATTAGCGATCATTCTCCATTTCTCCCTTCCCCCTGCCCCTGGAAACCATTAATCATTCCGTGTCTATGAATTTGCCTATTCTGGACATTTCATATAAATGGACTTATACAATATTATTTTGTGTCTAGCTTCCTTCACTTAGCATGATGTTCTTCAGGTTCATTTAAGTTGTAGCATGTATCTATACTTCATTTCTTTATATGGCCAAATAATATCCTATTTTACAGATACATTTTATCCATTTGTCAGTTGATGGACATTTGGATTGTTTCTACTTTGGGACTATTATGAATAACACTGCATGAATATTTGCGTACAAATTTTTGTGTGGACATCTGTTTTCATTTCTTGTATGTACCTAGGAGTGTAATTGTTGATTTATATGATAATTCTGTATTTAACTTTTTGAGGAACACTGTTTTCCACAGTGGCTGTACCATTTTTACAATCCCTTCAGCAGTGCAAGTGTCAGTTGCTCCACTTCCTCACTGGTACTTGGTATTGTCGGTTTTTTTTTTAAAAAAATTGAGCTATTCTAATGTGTGTGTAGTAGTTTCTCATTGTGTGTTTTTTTTTCTTTTTTTTTTTTTATTTCAGCATATTATAAGGGTACAGATGTTTAGGTTACATATGTTGCCCTTGCCCACCCTCCTTCCCCCAAATCCAAGCTTCAAGCGTGTCCATCCCCCGGATGGTGTGCATCGCACTCTTTGTGTATGCATATACCCGTTCCCTCCTCCTCCCTCCCCGACATCCAATAAATGTTATTCTTATATGTGCATTTATGTGTTGATCAGTTAATACCAATTTGATGGTGAGTATATGTAGTGCTTGTTTTCCATTCTTGGGATACTTCACTTAGTAGAATGTGTTCCAGCTCTATCCAGGAGAATACAAGAGGTGCTATATCACCATTGTTTCTTAAAGCTGAATAGTACTCCATGGTATACATATACCACATTTTATTA